AGAAAAGAGCAAGAGCCCGAAAAGTAAAGGCTAATGTCATTGGGAGGAACAGAGCGAAGGAAGGAAACGTCGATTGAAGGCCATTTTGTGTAGGGAATAATCTTAAAGAGTTCTTGAAATTTGGGAAAAGCGCCTTTAAAGATTATCCCATTATTGAATGAGAAGTCCACACTCCCATTCTCCTGTTTCACATGGAAACTTCCTTTCAAAATCCGATGACAACATGCAAATAAAAATCTCTCCAATTTCCAGTTTCTGTTACAGAATACGCGTACATTTCTCCCGAAATCTTTGCTCTCGAAACAAGATGATGAAATGCTCACTCAGTTCATTAAAAGTCCTCAAAGTTTATCGCCAACTGGGGAGCAATAAGCAAAAGTTTTCCCTGCTCAACTGTCTCCACGCCCTCCCAACGCTTATCAAGCATCGTTTTTCATATTCAAATATTTTTCTTTTCGAGGTAATTAATCATCCAGAAAAAGCGGAAAAACCGCCAGACAGTCGGACAGAGAGACAGAGAAAGCGATACAGAAATGTCTCTCTCGAGATAATGTCAACATAAATTGTTTCGGCAATTTTCTACAATTTTCCAGGCATTATTTATGACGGCTTCTACGCTGTTTCGCTCTCTTTTCCTCTTGGAAAATGCGAATTTAAAGGTTGAGCTGGGGAAAATTAGCCCGCTTCAAGGGCTACTGAGGGAAATGTGTGGGTTGAGGGAGTCATTCAATTTGACGTGTTGACTTTGGCCTGTGGCCAGCTTTGGGGAGGTTGAAGGTCCAGCAGGTCGCAGCACACACTCTGGGGGGAAGGCAGAAGGTCCGGCAGAGGACCCCTGAATGCGCCATTTAATGAGCCTGTCAGCAGTCAACGTTGGTCGCTTCTCCTTGACTCAGTTCACTTCACTAAACGGGTGATGGTGCGGGTTCTGGAGCGGGTTCTGCTACGGATTCTGTGTCATGTGTTCGGGAAGGGATGTCCGCGTGTGTGGCTGCTCAACCCCTCGTTTTGTGGTCAGTTTAATCACAAAGTTTAATGAATGGCTTAAGGGTTGAGGCCGAAACACTATTTTCCCCCTGTTCCGGCAGCTTATTGACAATCTCCAATCAACCGGAGATGAACCCAAAAATTTCCATAATCCAAATCAAAAATATTATTTATATTGTTTCTAGTAATTTGGTGGGGAAGATTTCACTATTTCTTTTCTCAATGGCAGGCTTTTCTTACTAGTTATCTTTCGTGGAGTTCTCTTTTCCCCTCCTTTAAAGCCTCACTTAACCTTCTTCAAAGCAACCTTCTTGCTTTTTTAACTAATTTTTCATCGAAAATTATGCAAATTCAATTTTCAGGACTGCTTCCGTCTTGCCACGCGAATCGAGCTGCCTCCCCGACCACGGCACGCCCATTTCAGCTGGTAGTAAGTAAGCATATTATTATAATTGTTGAGACCTCTTCTCGGGTTGTGCCCGGATGGTGGTGACTTCTCCGGAATCTGGTTTTCACCCAGGGAGTGTTAACCCTCGAGGCGTAAACAAAATTATGTTTTCATTGTTCGCGCACTTGACACACGCTTCAGTTTTTGGATCATTTCGAGGTGGTTGAGGATCTGGAAGAGCTGCAAATTAACTTAAGGAATGTATTTCTGGTTCGAAAACTTAAACACGTCTTCATGATTGCATTCCTCAGTGGAGATACAACATAAAAACATTCCCTAATTGATTGACTTTTCAGCTAAAACATTAACTACAATTTTTCAAATGTTTCACCATCAAAACACTGTCTAGACTTCATTTGCTAGCTTGCTGCACTCCCAAATAATTCTAATTTATTATTTTGTCTTCTTTTTTTATTGCAGCAGAAGTTTAACAGTGGTTCGTGTCTCGGCTGAGACGAACAATAGACAGAGACAACCATGGAGTCGACTGTGATGGCAGTGCCAAGCCAGAGAGGGATGAACATATGGAGAAATCTATGCACCAGAAGGTGAGCACTACATTTCGGGAGTAAATGAAGGAGAAATCTTATATACTTGAATGCTGTGCCCATTGGTTGGGATTCTCTTATGTAAAGAAAGCCTTCTGGGGTTTGGTTTTTGGCCTTCTAGTTGTGTGTGTGTGTATCTTTGGGTGGCTGCGCTTCCGTCCAGGCCAACGCCAAGGTACGATTCATTTTGCGCAGATCCATCATCGTCAGCAGACGTTCCGTCTGTCCGCAGTTGGAGGATGTGTGGATAGGATACGAATAGGTGAGAGGATATTGAAGTAAAGCCATGAAGAAAAAAATCATTGAAGGATTGTTGATAGAGCAATGTATTAAAGAGTTTAAAGTTTCGAGTTATGGCATTTTTAGAGGTTTAAAGTTGTCAGATATGAAAGAGTTTATATTCTCCGACGGGATAATAGCATTTTTAGTGTTTTGTGTCCATGGAATCATCACACATTAAAAGAAAGCAGAGAAGAGGTAGAAAAGTACATACCCTAATGTTGTTTCTCCGACAAACTTTCTGTCAGTAAAACACGCCAGTTACGTGTCAAATTCACTTAGAAAACGGTTCACTAATTATACATGTCCAACAGTAGTAATATTCTTAAAGAGAGAATAAAAGAGGGCTATCACTCAAACAGATGGACTCTTGTGACTACTCGGGTGCAGGATCTTTATTCATTTGAAGTGCCCATGGATGGCATGTGATTTTTTAGGCTTTTATAGATTCTCCGGGGGTGGTGTTGATTTTGATGGTAATGGCTTGGAGAACGATGCCTTGATGGGCTGGTGGATGTACAGGTCGACGCCCTCTGAGACGAGTATGCGATCTGCCTCTCCGGAACTCTGTCCGTACTCAATCTCCAAGGGTTTATTCGCAGGTGGCGGCAGCTGCGGCCGCTGGATGCTCGGCCGGCTGTAGCTGGCAGTTGTCAGGGTTTTTTTTGAACCGCCTTGGCGTTCCTCACTCCGGGAAGGTCTCGTCGATCTGTCCGAATGTGTGGTATAGCGTCGTTCCCGCACAGAGTTCCGCCAGTCGCTCACGATCTTCTTAATGAAGATATTGTTAATCTCATCCGGACCGGCAGAGGGACGCCGGGTTCCTTGACGGCCCGACTGAATGACGGCGACGGACGTTTGAGATTTCTGGTTTCTCAAAGACATGTTTTGAGCTCTGGAAACTTTGGGGTTGAAATTTCCAAATCCTAGACCATTTTAAAGACGGATGCACCCGGGATACAAGAAACACAGAATTTTGAAAGGTAGTTTCCGAAATTTTTAGACCATTTTGCGATACCAAAAATGGCTAGGAAAACAAACAGAATTTCGAATGTTTTTCTAACAGTTTCTCCAAACAAACTGACATTAAATGCCATGACATTCCAATTTCATTGTCATTTTTTGTGTGTGCTCATATACTGTGAATCCTTCCAATCTAATGTCTATAATTAAATTTCAGAGTCACCAATACAACGGGTGGAATTGCATGCCTGCTGCCTACAATGCAGCTCGCTGTGTGGAATGAGCTGAAGGATTTGTACCTAGCGACGGTAGCGGCTGCAGGAAAGGAGGCTGGCGAACCAGGACCCCTTCAGATTGTGGAACATAGCAGCTACTAAATGTAACAATAGAAAATAGATTAATTACTGAGCAGATTTAGATGCAGCTTGCTCGAAGCTGATAATTAATTAGTAATAAAAACTGAATTAAACCGAAAATATACAAAAACAGACCATGGCATGCTTTTGGGGTTTGCTTTATTAAGAAGGCGTATCGTACTTTTAGGATGCTATATTCATAACATTCTAAGACAAAATAGCTTAAAACAGCCATATCCTGCCGCCCTTGAAAGGGCCTCAATGCATTCATATGATGCGGGAGATCCTTCCGCTCATAAGGACTCATAGCACGTCTGGATCGGTTGAAAAATGGCGATATTATAGAATTTATACCCGTAATCCTTGATGTCCTTGAAGCGAAACTGATTGAAAAGCATCGGGGAAGTTGTCCTGATTACAAAAAGGTATGGCACATCCTGATCGGGACATAAACAAAGGAGAACACAATAAAATCTGTTTTTGGTGAGCAATTTCAAAATGTACTTTCCGCAAAAAATCATGTAGCATACTTTTAGTTACTTGGCGACTGAAAATAATAATTGCGGTTTCAAAGCCTCCAGCTTTTGACACAGTGAAAAAAGGAAAAATCAGTTACTTGCTGCTGATTTCTGTTGGCCTGGTACTCGGTCCGAAAATTTACATTTAAGCGAAGGTTTTTTATTTGTTCACAGCGGCGCTCCAGCTCTAAGCGGCCAATTGTCGAAGTACGTTATTTAGCTCAAGAAATGGCCTCCGTGATATTGGTGGCGCCGCTGTGCAACAACATCGGATGATAACAACAACAGGGCAGATTTTGTTTGATCCTTTATTTGTTGGCCGATCAGGACATGCCACACCTCCTCGTGATCGGAACAATATATCCGATCGCTTACGATCACTTCGAATGGAAGGACATTAAGAATAATGCCATTTTAAGGATGTTTTTGGCCTAAAAACCACACAACGCCCTAACTTGGACGTTTCCTGTCGGATCAGGACATGCCACACCCCCTCGTGAGAGGGATACTACCCCGTATCGCTTGAATCCATCAAGGACCTCAAGGACTGCAGGATATGGCTGCTTTAAGCCATTTTGTACAAGGGATCCCATCAGCCTAAAAGCGTGTATCCGATACAAAATCAGATACTTTCTCCTGGTACCTTTCAAGGTTTTGGCCATCCCAATTAGATAATTCACCTTTTGTGATTGTGAATTGTGATCACCTTCTCTTTTTATTTTTGAACTTTTATTAACTCGTTCCTTATTTTGTTCTTGTTTTACTGCCATTAAAGTTTTGAAAACGCACAAACTATAGAAAACCTTACAGATAGATTACAATTTAACTGCCAGAACTTGACTAAATCATAAATTAAGACAATCTTAAGAAAATATACATTTTTTTTAAACATTTTTTTGTAGTTTTGCAAAATCTTATAAGGTTTATCTATATCCTATTAATATAATAGACATAAAAGGTAGAGAGATAGATATGGGGGATGGTGTGTATAAGTTTGCATTGCATATAAAAATAGAAACTCTCGATTTTCAACAGGTTTGAGGGATACTTCTGGTCACATTTCCAGTTTTAGAGATACTTTTACTTCCAGTCGTGATTCCCATTTTAGTTCTAGCGTTACTTCTGGTTCCGCTTGTAGGGCTGTGGCATTTAGCTTCTGTTTTGCTTTGTTGCCTGGGATAATTGCTCTCTTTAGATCCGATCTTTCATCGTTCTCCCGAGGGATATTATCTCCCCATCTTATAAGGGGCTCTCTTTTCACAGTTCGCATTTCTTAGGCACTTTAGTGTTTTTCAAACAAAAAAGTCTACAAAAAATGCTTGCAATTTGTTCATATATATATTAACTGGGGTTCTAAAACCAAATGTATGGGTTTTCTGTGGGTTCCTGGGACATACGCCTACTCTTAAGGGGTTGGGTTGGGGCTTCCTTTGGGCATTCCCCTGCATGCGGCGGCAGTCGATATGTGGCTCTCCAGTATGGGCTTTCATAAGTACTGTTTTGCTTAGCTTGAGCTTTTCCGTCAATCATCATCCGTTCATTTCGATGTTAAATCGTTCATCATTCATCAAAAATCGCAACCTAAACGCGTAGGAAATTAACCGAAATTACAAACAATATTCTTAGTGTTAACTAAAGTTCCAATACGCGACCACTATCTATAATTAGACATATAAAAATTGTCCCCTCTCCGGAGAAGCGCAGCGTTCGCCACAGAACGTTTAAAAACGCGTCAACTGCCGCTGGGCGGGCGTTTAAAAACGCTAGCGAGCTCATCTATGGAGCTGCGCGTCGAATGCGGCGGTTGTTGCATGGATGGATGGATGGACGGGCGTCCAGTGTCCACTCCGAGTAGTTACTACTGTTAAGTGCCTTAACATAACGTAACATAATCTACAACGAGATGCACGCGACTTTCTGGCGCTCAAATTGGAGGCGGGCCGCGGATGTACCGCAGCTGCGGGGTGAAGCTCATCGACAGGTTGTTGAGGTTGTCGCAACAATTGGGTTGCATGAGGCAAGCAGCGCAGAAGAACGTGATGAGCGCTAGCTGCATGGGCACTGCCGCACGGGCGATGCGCCACGCCCAGCCACGCGGTGGAACCTTTCCATCGTCCACATCGGTGCTACCGTCCTCTTCCCCGCTTTCGAGGCTGATGACCAGCGAAGGGTCGTCGGAGGGGTCGCCGCCACCATCGCCACTGGTCAGGATCAAGATTTTCTTCTGGCTTTCCTCTGCATGGTCTTCCGTCTCATCTTCTCGTGCTTTCTGTGCCTGTCGTCCCTTGCGTGCGTTTCTGCGTTTTCCCGGGGATTGTGGTTTGTCCTGTGCCTGCCCCTTGCCGGGACTCGCCTTCTTGACATGTCCATTGGCTTTGGGGACCACCTGCTGCTGTTGTTGCTGCTGCTGCTGGTGAGAGGCGGCGGTGCGCACAATCAAATCCCGACAGGTGTTTTGCAGATGCTTCAGCTCCGCCTCCGCGCTCTCCATTCGTGCGGCAATCGAGCGCATGGCCTCGCTTCCAGGGGCAAGAGCCAGCTCCAGCTGCTTGGCCAGACGCCGGAGCACGCCCAGACGGCGTTCCCTTTCAGAGAGACCGCCATCGGAGGTGGCCCCACCATCAGAGATGCCCGAATCGGAGAGTGAACCATTAGACGCTGTGAACTTTGCGATGTGGTAGAGCTGATTGGGGTCAAGATGCTGCTGAACGGCAATCATCTGCTCCTGGCTGACGTGCACCTTCTCGGAGAGCAGCTTGGCTACCAGTTTCACGTTCTGCGCGAGCTCTACGGGCGTGGTCTGCCCCTTGTCCAGAGCTCCCTCCAGGCCCGCAAGGGTTCCTCTATCCTGTCCCAAGGCCAAGTGGAATTCACTCAAACCCGACTCCAGCTGCCGCCACGCAATCAATGAGGCGGTAAGCATCTCCAGTTGAGTGTTGATTCTGTAAAGGATTGCAAAATTAGAGATTTGTGTGGAGTGATCATTTGAATATGGACATACCTGGCATCCGCTTCATCCCAAGCGCTGTACATGTCGCTGACCTCGCTTTTGAGGTGCTTGTGGAACTCCTGTTCCGCGGACATCAGAGAGTGGACATCCCAGGCGCCAGTGGAAGTGGAGGCCTCTCCAGTGGCCAATGATTCCACCTGGTTGCCATTGCTGTCGGTGACGGTGATGGCCACCGTTCCATTGAGCTCTTTCTTTGCGGACTGCTCCTCCTTCTTGCTGGACTGCTCGAGCTCTTGCTCCTCCTTCATTACAGATTTCTCTTCCTTCACTGTTCGTTCGGACTCCTGTGGTGGAATCTGTTGTTGGTGCTGCTCCTCCAGGGCGCTTTGGAGACGCCTCTCCTGACGTGTCAGCCAACTGTGAACGGAGGCGTTCAGACGTAGCATGTGTGTACGGTAGCTGGAAAGCTGACTCTGTTCGGACTGCGAGAAAGATTACGGATTACGGAATAAATGAGAGCTCTCATATAGATTTGAATGGAATGACATACCTTCAGGGCCTCTACTGCTATCTGAATAGCTGGTTCTGTGTCCAGCAACTCCGGTGTGGGCTTATCCCCCAATCGCTGGAGCGTATGCTTCAAGGCACTCATCTCCTGTTGAAGACGACGTGCGGCAGAGGCATTCTCACTCCAGGACAGTAGATCCTCCCAGGCGGACAACAGATCTGCAAGAGAAGAGGGGGTTGTGGATGAGGTTGGTGGTGGTGGTGGGTTAGGGGTGGAATCGAGAGAGTTAGCGGTTAAGAGAGTGCACCAAAAAAGACGAATACGGAGAGAAAGGCCTTCTAATTGGTCTCCAATCTCATTGCCATTTATGTATTCCATTTGTGGCCCTTTGTAATGAATACCTTTCGCTTTTCCCCGCCACACTATCCCCACTTAAACGCTGGAAAATTGCAGTAGAAAAGTGAAAACTCTTTATTTGCAGCAGGAAAAAACAGTTTTCAATTGCTTTTGCGGTTCAAATGATTTGTCTCATTGGAAACGATTTTTACAAATTGGAAAGAGATTTGCTTGAATGGTTTGCCTCTTCCCAGGGATTATACTGCACCCCCCTCTGTCCGGGCTACCATTTCCGCTTTGAGCAGAACAAATTGTGAATCGTGGGTTGCATTGGCCGCATGGGATCAGAACATAGGGCGGACTGGTTTGATCTAACTGCGCTCAAAACAACACGTTTGACATCAAACACTCAGAATAAAAGAACAGTAGATAATGTAACAACTGCAACACTCACCTCCCCCGTTATCCGAGAGACAGAGACAGAGGACCCTTGTGAAATTAAGGTTCGATTGGAGCAGATCAAACAAAGAACAGCTGTTGCTCTACTGCCAAAGAAAACTGCATGTGAGGCCAGCGTTTTGGCTAATTAAAAGGCAGAGCCTAATGTACACAAATTACTTTCACCTTGAGGCCAGCCAAAAACGGGGTTTTAACTGAGTTACGATAAGCAAAGAAGGCAGAGTAGGATCAGGCAGTGCTTCAAGACGAGTACTATACAAATTCACAACCGAACGTGTTCGTAGCCAAACTCAAACTAGTTGACTGAACTTCAGTGCAGACTCGACCAAGCTCCACTTGGTTGCAGCCCAAGCTCCAACCACTCGTTGCATGCAGCCCCCACAATGAAGTGCAACCCACAGAGCAAGTCGAGCGCAACCAACTGAAAGATCGTTCGCGGGATTGGAAGGGAAGTGGAGGGTTCAACTTTGATGTATGTACGCACTTTAGTTGGGGTGGTGCACGCTAAGCCTCTCTTCTTCTTTATCAGACAGGGGAATCCAACTGGTTGGGTGACAGATCAAAACAGGCTCGACAGACAAAATTCGACTTGGAAAGAGAGAAAGAGAGGAAGCTACAAGGGAAGTTCGAGGTTGATGTATGAGACGCAGCCACAGCCCCAGCATGCGATCCACGCACTTTTATTGCATTACACAATCTTGTACGCGATCAAACACGTTCGAGTGGGGGGGTTCGTTCGGCTTGGGGGTTCAAGTCCACCTGCTATCGGACAGAAAGATATTGAGTAATCCTCTCCAGATTACTCCCCGATAATTCCACCACTGCTGCGGACGCACCTGCCAGCAAAATGTGCGAAAATATTGCACATAAAATTGATTAGCCATTAACCAGGCTGAAAAGATGGAGAGATGACTGGCCCGAGCAGACTTTCTCCTTGCGATAATCATCCATCCCACAAAATTAATTGCACTTTTTCGATTTTCCAAATGGTGGGTGGGGGTATATGTATAATTAATATGCAGGGAAACCTAACCGAAACTAATTGAAATTTCATCAAAAATATGTTGATTTTACTCGCTTGTCTTCTTTGCTGTTTTAATCCTCTTTGCTGACATGCAAAATAAAAATTGTTCACGAAAACAGCAAACAAATGAAAATGCAAAAACCGCAATGCGGAGAGGGGCAGTGCCTGCTACACCAAGGTCGTTGACGTGTGCCGCAATTGCTGGCAACAGTTTCAGTTTAAATATGAGAATTTATTTATTCGTGTGGGAGGAATACGATTACTTATAGAGAGAGGTGTCGCCATGAGAGAACAATCCGTTGTAGAATGCAAATTCAGTCGAGACTTATACTTCAGTTTATCAGCGAGAGCGCACTGGGAGGGAAATCACATAAAGGTAGCCTGAGCAGTTGCCAAGCTCCTCATTTGACGAGAGAAAGAGTTTCCTTAGGCTTACTCCCTCAACCCTACTTTTACAATACATCCTTCCTTGGATTGCTTTTAGCCCCGTACAAATTCGCGTGTCTAAGGGCCATCAGGCACAGCCTGTCGCCCAAAATGCGACAAATGGGCGTGGTGCCAGTTACTACCTTCCTTGCCTTCCTTGGAATGCCTTTAAAAGGTATTTATTTCGAGTAAAGATAAAACAGCAAACAAAGGCTAGAAAGGTGAGGTAATCAGAGAAACTATGTACTCCAAAAAAATGAACAAACGAATGGACTGAACTGAACTGACAGTGGAACGCACGGACAGTGGCTGACCTAAGTCAAAGCTCAAAATATTTGCCAAAATATACTCGTAATCTTGAATAATTATGTGGTTCTGTTTGTGACTCTGTCGATGAGCAACAGAGACAAACACTTATAGACAATTAGTAAAATATATTTTTAAATGCTGATTAGAGAATCAGAGAGACAGAAAGATAGAGAGAGAGAGCGAATCTCAAACATCTAGCTAAAAAAATTAGCATAGAAATTTTGCTGGGGGTCTGTCGGGGCTTCTGTTTCTGCATGACTGAAGTCATAAATTTACCGACTCGAGCAGGAAATCTATAAACGGAAATGGCGAAATGCAAATGGAAAGGCGTGTAAGGGTCATTGCCTTCAAAGGGAACCGCGTTGAACTATTTAGAGCAATCCCAAAACCAAGAGAAGCTTCATCTGTTACCGAATCGATTTAGTTTCGTTGGAACTCACTTTTCTAATGAACCGAAGGTCAACCGAATAATTAATGGTATCGAATGACAACAGAGAACTTGAACTTGGAAAGAGAAAAACACACAGATACCATATACCATATAGAGGCAGAGACGCAAGTTATGAGCTAATTGAGGCAACCGGTTCCGGCTCCAAAATGCAAAAACAACTTCTTATGAAACTACAAAGCGAAATAAAGCGCTTCCCCATAAAAGTGTGGCCCTGTTCGTGTTTACCGTTAATGAGTGTGGCCAGAGGAGCGGCAAACCATGACCAGTGCATGGCCAGAACCTAGCCTTAATTAGCTATCAATGCCTGTTACGGAGGGAACAGGAGGGGAACGGGAACCACCCGAAGTACATATCTGTTGGAGTTGCAACCCAATTTGGCAGCTTGTATTGTAGATGGGATGGAAAATGGCTTATAGATGGCTGCCCAAGTGCTGGAAGTCGGTCAATGTGTCTGCTGCCAGAACACTCCACAGAACTCCACAGAAGCAATTACTGGGTGTAGTGTAGCCAGAAGCTGAGGCAATCATCGGGTGAGTGATGCAAGCTTTCTTTGGATCATGGGAATTATTACAGTAGGAATAACGCAACTGCTAGCGGAACAGATGGAGCGGAGGGAGATGGGTTGGGGGGGCAGAAGATCACCAAGTCGAGTGCGGGATTTATGATCCATAACAGAGCTATCGTATCTCTTTTCGGGGCAAGAGCTTGTAAATATTGCTTGCAGATGGGAGAGTGTGCATTGTGAAAGCGATCTACAAGTGTGGTACAGTGGAGGCTCAATGAGAGGATTGGGAGATGTATCACAGCTTTCTTTCGCTGCCTCCCTCGATGCTCTCTCCCCCACAATCTACGATTTTCACTGAATAGATTGTACGCCCATGGTAAATCTGCTCTAAGTAGTACAGCTTTCCCTGTACTTAAGTTCTTCTAATGAGTTAGCCATACTTATGTCTGTTTCTCTTTTATCTCTTCGCATTCCACTAAAGTGTCTTCAGACTCGTCATCTCCCAGTTTGCTTCCCCCCTCCCCGTTTAGTGGCTCAATTATCTCTGGCTCGTTTTCGCTCTTATCTTTTGTGTACGATCTCTACTCATCGTATTGTCTATACGATACCATACATTCCCCTACACCGTTTACACCTGTTTCCCAATTATGTTTACTCTACCCCATTTCACATCATCTCTATGGACAGAGCAGTGCAAACTCTTTTCTCTTTCTTTCTTTTTTCTGCGAGGGTTTCTCTTTCTGTTTACCTTGTTCCGATGAGGAGCGCGAGGTGTTGGCCGAGGAGCTGGCGGAGAAGAGCATTTCGGAGAGGTCCGTTTGAACGGCCACACTAACTTTCCTCATGGCGAAAAGCTTTCTCTCTTCTATTTCTCGCTCTCAAAGTTTCACTCCCCTGAAGGAAGTGCCAGGAAGAAGGAGCGAAAGACCTTTACTGCTGCTGCTACTCTCCTCTCCTTGCGGTGTGACCCACTTTTTGTTTGTTTTTGTTGTTTCGAACAGCACTTGAAATCAATTTTTGTAATCAATTTGAGTTTGAAAGCATTTCAATTTTACTTTCAATCTTCTACACACAAACAACAAACTATGTGAAACCCGCAGAAGTGTTGGGAAATTTGTTTACGCGACCGCGAAACGTTAGCGGGGGGGAAACGCGGAACTCTTATAACGCAATCGAAGCAACTCTTATACGCGTTAGGTAAAGCACGCGAGTTTTTATGAATGGCAAGACTAGGATTTCGGGCGAAGATTTTAATGAATGCCTTTATTTGTATCACAGTTATTTTCAGGAGTTATGACGCAGAGAGATATGTTGAGAGATTCTTGGGAACATTTCGAGTTCCGCTGAAGCACAGGTAAAGTTTTTATAGGGGGAAAGACATGGGAGGAAAATAAACCGTTTGAAACGCGCGCCGAGAACTGAATGACTGACGGAAGAGAAGAGGCAGCGGCAGAGACAGCAAAGCTGCCAGAGAGCAGTTACACTTATTTCTTTTTATTGCGTTTGGCGCAGCAGCAGCTTTTCAGGTGGTGGACGCGTGGTGTCGAGAGAGGCAGAGAGGGAGAGCAGCAACAGACAGACATATGGAAAAAGCGTGAGAGAATACAACTTTTGAACTTGGCTTTGTGACACGCTATTGTTTCGGCTCTCTCTGTAAATTTGGTGGTGTGTGCGAGAGAGAGGGTCTGCTTATTTGTTTCGGCAGCTTGGAACGACGTCATTTTGTTGTCTAATAAATTGTATTTGGAATAACAACAGCAAAAGAGGGAGAGGGGGGAAGAGACATCATGATGACGATATCAAAGCTGAAAGCTTGAGCTAGAGTTTGATGCTCACTAGCGACATCTAGCGCTAGCTGTCCGTAAGTCAGACTACAGTTTTAAAGTAGTCTTCCAATACCTCTCAACTTTACAGTTGTATTAACGTGATGAAGAACCCTCTTATACCCACAGTTCTTAAATATTGATCAATCAGCCCTCGTTTTCGCTTTGTTTTAAGATGATTCCCCTCCCCAAACACATTTGTTTATACAATTTTGCGCTGGCAAAAGACTTGTACATATGACGTCAGTGGGCAAAAATAAATTTGCTCTTGGGAGGGGTCAAAATTAAGCAGCTGGCTCTCTAGGTAGATGTTTCCCCACCCCTATTAATTCGATTTATGGGGGTAATCCAAATACTACAATACTTCAAAGATTGAGGAAAATTTAAGATGTTTCCATCTGAGGAATAAGACGTACAGTTTGAAATTTACGAGCAGTTCGCTAAAAACTTTAGCCAAGACACAACCCATTGTGTAGATGAAGTGGAGGTTCATGTAGAATGTGTGTAGAATGTTGACGAAAAAGGTTTTGTTGGACCTTTTCCTATAGTATGAGAAAGGTCTTTTTTCTCATGAACTGAAGAGTTTAAAGAAGGAACATTGTGCTGAATGTATAAACTGTTAAATGAAGTGTGGCTGAATGGATTATATGACCCATAGATCCTTCAAATACCATACATTTCTGTCAATAGAAATCTAGTACAGGGTGCATAGCATAGGGTTATTCCGTCTAGGAAATTGAAATAGTTATGGAAGTATTAACATTTAACGGACAACCTTCACAGGTCTTAAGCATACCGACAAATGTAAATGTAAATTTAAAGCATACAATTTAAACTTAATAACTATAACTTAAGTCAAAGAACGGTTTGAGGACAAGTGTGGATATCGGCTGTGGACCCATTACCGCTTTTGGTGAAGTACGTACTTCGATTAGTGCTATGCTACGACGATTGATGATCAAAACTAAACTCAAAGCAAACTAAACAGAGAGTTAAACGATGATTAACGATTATTATTAGATAGTTAAATTAATTTTGTTAATACATTTGACAAAAACACAAGCTTAGGCGGCTCTACATGGAGTTAAACAGAAGGATGACATATGACAAAACACCAAAAATATCAGAAAACATCAAGAAAATGTCGATGAGTATCAACAAATAACTCTGGTAACAAAGAATTATAACAATTTTAGTTCTGCTTTTGGTGTTTCGATGCTCAAAACGTAATTTTTATTGCCAAAAAAAATGAAAGAAGAAAAAACAAATGCGCAAGAATAAGCAAAATAATTGAACAAAAATAAAATTATTTAAAAATAATAAAATTAAACAGAGCAAAGATAAGGCAAAATGTGTGGAAGATTCGATGCGAAATGCGTTTTGTCAAATGCAGCAACAAAATTCGTTTAAATATATCATATCATATTGTATATCGTAAATCGTATAATGGTTTAAGGATCCATGTATAATACATCCAAATAATACAGATTCGGTTCATGCTTAAAGCCTGGCCAAGACCCCCACGCGAATGAGGGATATTCCTGCTCATAGCAGACCCCTAAGGCCCCCAAAGAGCCGCTCAAGAGGCCCCATGGGCCGGTTGACCAACGCATATAGTGACCTGAGAGTCCCGGCCAGGAACCTGTAGAGCGCAAAGTGCTCCAGCAGATTGCCCAGGTCCATAACGAACTCCAGGAGTCGCGCCACAAAGCGGGTAATGGGCGCACACTTGCACTCGGCGATAACTAACGATCCACCTGGAATAATGGGGATCGTTTCTGCGTCTGCATCCCCTTCGGGTGTGACAGCCAAGGACTGGCGCCTTCGCCTTCTGACGGATGATGTTGATGATGATGATGGAGGCTGCTGCTGGGACTCACCTTTTGTCTGGCCAGCGCACTGGTTGGAGAGGACTGTGCCGGGCGGACCGCGTAGCACGGCCTCCAGGCAGCGAATGTTATCGCGGCAAGTGTTGATGATTTCATTCTGCAAGGCCACACAAGAGATGGAAATTAGTACAGGGTTTCCCTTGGGGCTTTGCACAGCTTATTCCTTACATAATCCTCTGGTCTAAGCAGATGACATCTGATCTTCAGAGCTCTGGTGTCCTCCAATCGATCGCGACTCTGCTGCAGGAGAGAGCGCATCTCTTGCTCACCATCCTCGGAGTCATCACTGCTGGATGACCCTGTCGAGGCTGGAATCAGCTTGATGCACTTCTCCAGATTACGCGAGGAACGGCGCCTCTCATCGGCGGTCACTGTGCGGCGTCTCCTGGTGGAGGTATCGCTCTCCGAAGTGCGACGCAGCAGGGACTGTGCGGAGTGGCTCATGCCTGTTCCTGCACCAGCGCCAAAGTCCAGTTTGCGACCCACTGACTCGGTGCGCAGATTCAGCTGCTGGTTCGCCGGAGGCGTCATCAGAGCTGTGGCAGAGGCCGAAAGCGAAGGCTGTGCCTGAAGATTCTGATGCTCCTTATCCTTTTGTGTATTGCTAATGGTTTCATCCATATCTAAAGAGCACAAAGGGAGCGTTAGTAGTGGTCTCTGAAGAGAGTTGTGTAATATTTACCTTGACACGACTTGCGTCTCACTTCAAGGGTCTTGCGACGCCTCTCGTACTGCAATTCCAGTGCTCTCTGGCGACGTGCGTGGTCCACACTGCTGCTGATGGTCTCCTGATTGATGGCCAGGGGCTTCAACTCGTGCCTCTGCAGCGAGTCCATGCGCGGCGGTGAGAACGAGTCCAGATTGTTGGCCGCCGACAAAGAACTGCAGCCATCCGACTGCGAGTCGATGAAATTGCTATGGGAATAGATCATCATCAGATGGGATTATTTATGGGATCCGTTGAGCCGTTTATAAATAGTTTTCTTGGCAAGCTTTCAAAGGTCATGATGGCTCTCATCATCATACATCCCTCATCTCTGTGCACTCACCGATAGTCGTCGCCAAATTCCAAGAGACGACGGGCCGCATCTGAATCAAAGCCCTCGGAATAGTTCTCCGAGTTGTATTTCTCTTGATAGTTGTCCCAGGCAGTCTCCGAGATGCTGCTATGATGATCCTCAGTGCTGAGTTCTGTGCGGGAGAGGAATGACACGATAATTGTAATAATTGGCTACGTTTTGGCGTGTTACATTGATGTGACAGATGTGATGGATGGATAGAAAAGAAGGGGTGAATAGACGTACAATGAAAGCATTGAAGCTCTCACTGTACATCCGTGATTTCTGAAGGAATGTTTTCATTTCTATTGGGGGTGCATTGGCTGTACCTTTGGGCCTGGTCTTTACCGGCTTGGGTGCTTGTGTTAGAGAGAACAAAGATTGACAGAGAGATAAAAGTGTGATCCTATTCTTAAACGGTGGATCTATTCCCAAGTCTATTCTTACCTGCTTGCTGTTCATCCTCATTCATGTAGTTGGACAGGGCGGCCAGTGCTCCCAGTCTCGTATCGGTGGCCATTAATCCAGCGGTGGTGAAGGAACCCACACGGAACTTCGGCAGCATCAACTGTGACTCCGAATCGCCTTCAACCAGTAGACTGCCCTCTGCTCGGGGACTTCCTGGAGCTCCCTTCTGGATGCTCAACAAAGCATTTGTAAACTCCTGCAGCTGCTGCGAGGACATGGACTCGCAAGACTTCATCAGAGTCTGTGTGAGATCCCCTCCTCCAGCCTCCGAGCCGGAATCTGATTTCCTGCCTGCAGAGGCAGCGGAGATGCGCTTCTTGCGTGCCTTGCGGCGTCTCAGGGATCCCTTGCTGTCACTCTTGCGGGCCGCATTACTGCCTGTGCCCGAGGAGGAGGCCGCCCGTGGCCTGGGTCCCGGAGAAAGCGAATCCAAAGCACTTTCGCTAATCGAGTGGCTGGCAAGGCCCGGCGGGGCGTTCTGTCCCACCGAGACGATGGCAGTCGTCAACTGGTGGCCGGCAGCGTCTGTCGTCAGCTGCGAGAGGCAAGAAACGGACCACGGACGCTCCGACTTGCGGCGTGCCTGCGGGCGCTTCACAATCTTCACGTTCAAGCTCTGATTGCTGCTGCCAAAGCCCAGAGGCGTGACAGGCTGGCCAATGGGCTCTGCAGATCCCCCAATCCGCTCCGTGGAGTTTCCATACGAATTGGTGCTCGTCTGCATGCAGGTGGCTATGGAATCGGTGAAGCCCTCGGAGGTATCCGATCCACCGCCATTGAGTGCGGCTGCTCCCGTCTGTGGCACGGAGTCTGTTTCGGACGCCTCTCCCGAAGCCTCGCAGTCATCGGGCTTGCAGCCAGGGAGTAGCTCATGGGTGTGACTGCGTGTCAGCAGCTGTGGTGTGGATGGTTGATGCTCAAGCCACTCCTGCAAAGGATCAAAAGAAAGAGTTAGTTTTGGGCTTTGAAGTAAAGATTCCTCGAAGGACTTACCTCAACGCGCTGCTTGATTGGCGGCGGCATGTGAACCTCTCGTTTCTTGACCGTCGACGAGATTTTAATGATGGAATGTTTCTGCTTCGTTGGTGTCTTCAGAGCGGCCTCTTGAGCGTCGCGCACCAGATGCTCGGCTTCCAGCACAAGCTGCTTGATTGAATCATGCGAGACCTAAACAGCGACACAGAGTTGTCGAGTTATAGAGATGGTAAAACAGAGAGTTTTTCAGAGTCGTAGAGGGAGCTGCGAGCAGAGCGAGTGAGCACTTCGAGAGGTCGGAAATTAATGAGCGTGGCAAATCGCAGAGTCTTTGCCGCTTTGCCTGTTGATTCAGTGGAGTCATGAGGCTGACTAATATCGGAAAATATATATCTACACACAGAGAGAGTAAATGAGTGTAAGAAAGAGGAAGTGCACTGAAAAAGAGAGAGCAATGGAGAGTCAGAGCCTATTGCCATGCCTTATCAGGGTGGGAGGCATTCTCTTATCGTGCAAAACCATTCACTCATTCCCCTTATCGCAGTTTTGTCACCCATTTATAGTGCACTTCAACGTCATTATTGTAGAGTGGATTTCAATGGAGTGTGTAGAGGGGCAAAACATTGTGTAGAGGAGTCAGAATGGGGGAGTGCAAAGTGGAGACTTGAATTCGCAATTTATACAGACAATTCTTATCTCCCTCTCGAGTTCTATTTATTTCTCTGCTTTTTTTTAGTGGATGGCTCCACTCATCAATCAAGTGAGTGGGTCGTGGGTTCCACCATTCCAGGAAAAGTCTTTTGTATTGCACAGCGAAATGTGTTTGTGTGGGAATGACTCTGAACATAATAGAAGGCAGACAAATAAATGTGCAAGTGGGAAAAAAGGAGGTGGAAATAGGGACAACTATTCATTTTGTGACTTTCAAGTGGATTACTTGGGTGCAGTAGAAGTATAAAAGTAGACTTCTGTGTTTCCCTTGCCCATTCCACGTTATCTTTCATTCCTTATAAGGAAATCATTGGTGTGGGAACCCCAAACGATAATTTGTTTGCATCAAAGTTCTGCTTTACTTTTGCTTACCAAAATCGGAATTCAAAATACTCATAGTTCAAATCCAATCAACCATGGCTAATTATTCCAATTGGATTACGAAAATGTTGTAGCTTTTTGGGTGTATTTCACTTTAGTTTTTGCTTGGGGCAATTGAACATTTTGAAGGTTTTTTATTGAGAGTGTTTGAATGCCCCAAAAACAGATGTTGATGGCTCTGTTTTTATTTTGCTTTTTTCTGCTGGCAACTTTGTGTTTGTGTCTGTATCTCTATCTGATGTATCTTTATCACTCATTCAGTGAAGTTGAAACACTGTCTACACTTGAGTTTAATGTTGATCTTGGGCTTAATTTAATTAACAACTTCCTGCGGCAACGAGCGGCACGGCACTGCACGGCACGCGAAACACCACGAACACCGACGATCGACAAAGGAGGGAAGTTTGGCAGCCACTGACTGGAGCTCAGTGCTCAGCAAAACGGAAACAATTTTCTAATGCGAATGCGCGAATGCCCCGCAAGTGAAAACAGCCGTCGTGAACGGTTCACAGTTACTCTGCCACACAGCGGGCAGCGACGGGCGAGGGGGAACAACAGCAGCGATTGGGCGTCTGTGATAATTAAAGGCAATTATTAATGCGAGTCTGTGGCATGAAGCCACCAATTAAGGCCCAAAACTTGAAACTATCTACAGCTCTCAGACCGTAGAGTGTAGAGAGAGAGAGCAGACTCTTGAACTGTCAGCATCTATCTGTGGCTCCTTCTTGTGGGTACTCCTCTCCTGCTCCTGCTCCTGTCCCTCTGCCTCGGTGGAGCCTGAACAGTTGTCGTTGTATCGCTCTACGCACAGCACTCTTTCTGTTTATGTTTCTCTCCTTTTCCTTTTGGCAAATCTAATCGCGTTAATTATTTGAAATTGAGACCACTTCGAAATGTTTACAGTTGCAGAAGCACTGAGGTTATCTAGCGGCGTGTTTTTGCACTCTTTTTTTGTATCGCTGTTTTTTGTTTTAATGCAAATCTACACTTTTTCTACTGTTTTTTATTGCTTTCCATTGTTAGTTTTTGTTAAACAATTGTTTGTTGTTTGGTCGGTTTTCATCTGCTATGTACATCTGCGAACGCGACTACGACTACGACTGCGAATAGTATCTGGGAGAGTCTCTCGTCCGCTAACCGTTTCGTCTGCCGTTGGCTCCAACGTTGCGAATCGCACTGAAGCGAGCGAGCGAGCGAGCGGATGAGAGAGAGGCTATTGCTCTGCCTTGTGGCTCTGGAATGGAACATGAGGGGCAGGGAGGGAGATACTGACTACGGCACTCACACTCCGGCAGCTTCATATGGCCCCCAACCCCAACCCCATGCCCCCATGCTCAGGCACAGTTAAAACGAATTAAAATAAACTGTCGAACCGAAATGCGTTTGATAATAGCCCCAAGAGGGTGTGAGTGGGGGGCGTGCGGGAGTGGGTACAAGCGGGGGACAAGCGACAGCTAGATAAGATAATGGTAGTGCAAAAAATCAATGTGAAATCGAATAAATCTTTGAGAGCAACTGCCATTAACAGTGACCATGGTCTATGGAAGTGTGTCTATGGAAGGGGAGAGAGAGATAGAGAGCCCATGGGCTCTCCTTCTGCTCTTATTTCGTTAACTCCTGAATCATTTCTTTCTTAATAATCTCTCTCTCTCTCTATACTATAAACATTTATAGTGATTGTCTATGGCCGCATTGTCTATTATATCTCTTTCTTTTCTTTCTGCCTCTTTATAATTTGGCAAAAAAAAAGACACAAATCACCTGTGTCCATCGATAAGATAATTGAATTTTTAGTGCTGTGCTGTGGTATCAATGATTTCTAACGTCATTGCTCTGCCGCATGGCTTTTCCTTATCTGGGAAATCTCTAGTGGAGAAGGTAACGTGATGTATTACGCGTAGTTTCCATTTGAGTTCAGGTTCAGGTTTTTGGGCTCGCTTTAAATTTGTCAAAATGAATCAAAGCTCCACAAAATTTCACTCTCAATAAATCAACGCACTGTAGTGCACTTTATGCGTAGCAGTGGAGTGACTCCCCCTGCCATTGACTGCCCTCCGGCTGCAGCGGATGGTAGAGAAAATTGCGTGCAACGGCGACAAATGCAAATGCAAATGCACACGAGCATGCGCAACATGTTGTGGTTGCGTTTGGCAGCAAAGGAAAATGAGAGTGTCCAGTGTCAAACACGTTGCACGACGGACATTGATGGGCACAACGCAGTGGCGCGACAAATGATAGATGGAAGGCAGGCCACACAGCATGCTCATAGCAGGGGGGGTGGAGTGGAGTGGGAGACATTGACACCCACACTCTGGGCTGACACAGCTCCACTGAGCCATAGATCGCATTACCCCAAAAGATGAGATGAGTGTAATACTCCATTAAATGGCAAGCAAGTTGTCAGCGCCTGCCAGAGACATGTTCGTGCATGTTTTACCCGCGAATTTACACGAAAATTGTTGACCACAAAAGGAGATTAGAGAAATTTGAGACGCAAACTCGCGCACACACACAAGAGTGGACCACCGGCATTGAAGGAGTCCACTCGATAGGCCAATGATCGATCGATGGATGGATTGGTCGGACGCCAAGGGAAACCGAAAATGAAATTGAAACTAAGAAGCCGCTGGAAGATCAAAGAAGGAAACGCAGCTAGAGCTCTGGAATTCCCCCCACTAAAGTGAAAGCCATACAGCATCTTAGAGTCTAAGAATAGGAAGCTCCACTTCCTTCCTCCAACTGATAGATACTCACTTTGACTGGCGAGGAAAGCATCAGGGATGCCGACATGGTGGCATTGCTGCTGCTGGCCTGCGACTTTGATGATTTCGCAGACTTTGCCGGGGAACGTGGAGGCAAATTTCGATTGCCATTCGATGTTGTTGTTGTAGCTGTTGTTCCTGCCTCGCTGGGCCACACGCTGATGTTGCAAATGTCCGCACGGCTATAGAAATGCTGCTGCTGGTTGCTCATCTGTTTGGAGAGAAAGAAAGAAAACAGAGAGTAAGTAATCATGACTCTATCCATAAAAAGATTGACAGTTTCCTTGCAATTTCCCTTGGACGGGCAAGATAAATCCCTGTCTATCCGTAGTACTGGCCCTTTCAATTGTTTTGTTTCATTTGGTTTGAATGAAGAAATAAATCACACGTTTCCCAAAGTAATTTTGGTACGAGAGTACGCGAGAGTACTTTCCCATTTTTGACGTGCTCAACTCAATTTCAATTTCCCGAGCCCCCGAAATGAACGTGTTTTTTTTTCCTGGACCACGACATGGCATGTCGGTAGTCATCGATCGGTCGGTCGCTCCACCAGTCTCTCGTTGTTGCCAGAGTCTCTTGTTCCCATTTTGAATGGCAGGAGTCGGTGCATGATTCGCTTTCATTAACCCAACTGCTTAATCATTCGCTAAGGTTTGCCATTTATTGAAAATGCTATACTATTTGCCTCCTTTTTGTGAGCAGCCACAACCTCTCTTGCTGCACTCAAACTATCCACTACCTTTCCTTTCCCATAAATTCTGCAAACAAAACCCAAAACTCCTTTATTGACACAAGTAACAGACACAGACATGGCCGAAAGAGAGACAGTCTTGAGCAGCGCCCAGACACTTGACTGACTGTGGGAACCGGCTCTAGTCTGTGGGATTGAATTCGATTTGTATTGGTCTATAAATGGCAGCCAAAGATCGCTGGACAGTCGAACATTCAAGAGCTGTGGAGGGTTTTCTGAGAGTTGGGCAGAGGGTTTGTGGATCATAGGATATCCTCCCACTCCCCTGTTCAATCTCTCCTTCATTTAGCTTCCTTCCACTCTTAAAAATTATTAATTTATAGCTAATTTCTTCCCTTTAAACTTATAATATCTAAACTTTCAACCCAATTCCATATTATTCTTTGCGTCACTCACCTGATGAGTAGATTTGGTGGCATTTCCATTTGCCATATCAGCAGTTGTCTCATCAACACTCCCCATCTTCCGATGTAGATCCACCTCTGCTCCTTCATATCCATCTGCATCTGCATCTGCATCTGCATCTCCTGCAACATCGTGTGCTCCCTCCTCATTGTTGTTGGCTGACTCCAACTCTTTGTGGATGTGGCTGTGGCTGTAGCAATTGTTGTTGCTAATGATGTGTCTGTCGCTGGATTGAAACTCCATCTGCATCTGCAACTTCTGCATTTGCTGTTGATGGTGCCTGACCAGGTCCACGGGGCGCTGCATCTGAGTGACTCGCGAGGTGGCCGAGGTCTCTGTGTGTCTGCCGTTCGAGTTGGACGAGGAGCAGGCGCTGCTGCTGTCGTAGTTGCTGCTGCTTGTTGCCACAGTTGTTGTGGCCACAACTGTTGCAGATACTGTAGCTGTTGCTGTTGCTCCTCCTGATGCTGCTGCTGCTGCTGCTGCTGTGGTTGTTGTAGAAACCAAAGCCTCCTTGTTCTCCTTATCAGAGTCGTCGCTGGGCGATGATACTTTTCCCCCCGAAGAAGTTGTTGAAGAAACGGCCGTCGACTGCAGACCATCCACAATCGTTGTGCCAGTTGTTTCCACTGTTGTTGCAGTGGCAGTTGTGGCAGTTGCAGTGTAGTGCCAACCCTCGTCGTCGTCATCCGATGAGGCATCAGCCGATTTCAGTATCTGTATGTGTGGAACATCCACAGAGAGGCGCAATATGGGAAAGGGAAACGGAATGAAACATTAAAATCAGTGGAAAACCAAAAGAAAAACCCAACAGCAAAAGAAGCTGAGGCTGAGGCTGAGGCTCAGGCCGAAGATGAAGTGGTAGAAAATGAAGTTTAATTAGCGTTACTTGCGCAAAATGGCAAATTGTACGTTGTGGCACAGAGACACAGGCACACTTGCAGCTTGCAACGTGCTGCTGCTGCTGCTGCTGCTGCTGCACATGAGCTTTGAAGCTGCAACTCGCCGCAGACACATGAGAGGACATGGGGCACCGCCTCTTCTCTTTCTCTCTCTCTCTTCTGTGACTTTGTCTTTGCTGGCAATTTATTTTCATTTGGGATGGTGACGACCCCAGAAGTCTGTCTGATGTCAATGCATGAGGAGTTTTGTGGGGGAGAAAGACGAAGGAGTCAGAATACTGCGGACAGAGTAGGAGTTCTGTTCGAAGTCACAGAACAGACAGATGAACAAACAAATTACGTCTGACTGCCTGAAGAGTGTAGAGAGGTTGTAGAGAAAGAGAGATATCTGGCAGTTAGCACAGCAGACCTTAAGCTAAGGAAAGGCCTCCAGCTAAGGACCAGACCTAAAGTTGATGAAGATCTCAGACATGTTTTTTGTTGAAACTTCATTTTGATTGTCATGAAAGATATTTAGGAGAATTCTGTGTGGGAGCAATCAACAATAAGAATATATTTCGTTCAGTTTATTTTTGCGAAAGATCTTGCTTTGGAGAGTTCATAGAATACTAAGGAAAAAGCTGTCATAGATCTACAATCTCTACGTGTATTCTACTCAAATGTGCGTTAGATCAATATACTGTACAGATCTCCGCCAAGATCTCTCTGGATCTAATTTCTATAATACAAATTTACTTTTGTTTCTCTTTCTAAATGATTCTTGAGGATAAAAGTTTACATTGTTGTAGACTTCTTTTTTGTTTTGGTTTCTTTAAATTCTATTTTGAATAATGATCTTTTTTTTGGTTAAATGATTAATGATTCGAGCGACGTTTTGGTATTGGTTTTAGTTGGTAATGAAGACTACCGAAGAATGGAACATCAAAATGTTTAGAAATTTAGTTAGGCATGCCAAAAACTATACAAGATTTATAGTAGAAGTTAAATAGATAGTTAGATCTTTTGTTTAGTTACATATAAGGAAACAAGCAAGCGAAAAGCATGCTAATTAGTGGGCCTGTAGAAGACAAGGGAGAACTCTGGCTCCATCCATTTGGATGTAGATAGACGTGACCGGGAACACCTTTTCCTGTGACTGTGATGATCAGATGATGACCCATAACCGATACACACACACAGAGAAAAATAAGCAAAAGCTTGAAGACTGACACCCAGACTGCGACCCATAGATTGTGTGGGGTTTCACTTACGTCGCCTCCAACTCCAATCTGATGATGGTGCTGCAAGGGATCATCTTCGCTGGGTAGATCGCTGCATTCCGCTGCTGCCGACTGCTCGTTGTCCGTGTCCAAATGCTTGAAGTAGAAGATGGCGCAGTTCTTCGACTTGCGGTTCGACCTATTGAACTTTGATGTGTCATTATGACGATGGGTCGTCGTCTTGCGCAGACCCAGGGGGGATTTGTTCAGCTCGTGACCATGTCCGTGGCCTGCATGCCCGTGACTGTGAGCGTGATTGGTGTTGCCGTGCGAATTGGGCGTGATCACGGCCACGGCAATGCTCTTGCCCCCCGTCGACTTGCTACCGCCACCATTGGCCATCTGAATGGGCAGCATTTTGTTGCCCAAACTATGACGCTGCTGCAACATGGCAGAGTTGCTGCTAATGCCGTTCCCGTTCTGTGACATTTCTAAGTGTGTTATCAAGGGTGGCGCCCGGCGGGGATTACATATGGCCACACCGCGGCGACTCAACTGTTGCACCTGCTCGAGATCGCTGCTCTCGGAGTCGGCCTCAAAGTCGGTTAAGGTGGCTGCCCCCTTGGTGTGGGCGGTATGGGGATGCGGGTGCCAGCAGGCGGAACGTTTGCCAATCAAAAAGTCCACCACATCGGCTCCCAAATTCGCGTCTTCGTCGTCGTCTTCCTCCTCTAGCTCCTCGTCGGCCTCATCGCCGGGCTACAGACAAGACAAGAGAGCGGGGTGCATGGATGTTAAATTCAGGCGGGGGGAAGATGCAACACACACGGGAGGGAGGGAGGTATATCGGGATTACATACATGCTCTTCTCTCTGCTTTTAGAGTGCTGCCAACTTGGTTTGCTTTTGCTTTTGGAATTCGTTTTTCAGCTTGAAAGATCTTCAGATCATTTGTTAAGTATTCTTTGCTTCCTTTTTTGGGATATAACTGTTTGCTGTATTTGGCTAAGGATCAGGTTTTGGGGTACGGGGGTTTTAGGTTAGGTTCATGGCATTCGAAACAGCAAAAAGTTGACCATACTGAAGTAGGAGGAGGAGTAAGAGTAGGAGAAGGCATGCAACAACTACTCGGTAAGACACACAAACAACTACATACAAACAAACAATAACGATATGCAAATCGTCAAGCGGCAAACATCATTTACCTTTTGGGATGCAAGACAATCGCGTGGCTGATCCTGAGAGATGTGCGACGACTGTGTGACAATTTCTGTGGCCGCAACAACGTGGCACCTTTGCAATATCAACTCGGGCAGCGAGTTCTCTAGCTCCTGCTCCTGTTCCAAATCTAGATCGGAATTGACCTCGTTCAGATCGTCTTCGGTGGCAGCATCGCCCTCGCCCTCGTAGCCAAATGAATCGTCTTCGGTATCGTCCTCATCCACGTCCTCGTCCTCGTCCTCGTCGTCGTCCAAACCATTCTGCAAATATCAAGATAATGGAAAGGTTTTCATTAGATTGGAGTAGTTGAAACCCATTTTGAGTGGGTTTATGGACAGGCAAGCAATGCAATAAAGTTGTATGCACAAATATGAGTCTCGCCACTTTTAATTGGGCAAAAACTCTGATCTTCATCTTTTTCCCAGAGAAAAACTATAGTGCTGCCGCTGCTGGACAAGTCTCCTTCCCACATTTTGAGCTGTTTTTCTGTTTTCCTGTTTTCCATCACGTAACCATTCACTGACCGAGCTTCCTCTTCCATATGTTGACTAAAATTATAATTGCTTTCAATTGTCGACACACGAAATGAGTCTTGGACTTGAGATTTTGGATTGGACTTGCGGATTGGATCAGCGGGTGGACAGGACAGGCCAACACCAAAACACTTGGTGCTGTCTGTTGGCTGTTGTCGGTCCCGCAGACAGATGGTTGGATAAGCCCAAGACAAGAGGCGTCAAATGTGCTATAGATACTCTTATTGGAAGTGTGTTTCCAAGGTGGAAAATCATATATGGAGTGCGTTTAGTTTATTTTTTTTGTATGAAAAGGGAGAGCCATATTTTCTACCCTTTTTACCAAAAGAAAGAGCATTTCCCGCTTCGTTGTCTCACATTTTCCATGCATAATTTTCGCTTTTCTTTTTATGTACACACCCACTCATGATGTGGCAGAGAAGGAGACATCTAAAGGGGCCTTCACTTGGTGAAATATTCAAAAAATGTGTGTGCTTCGTTTTTTTACAAGAGAAATATAGTCTAACCTCGAATGACCTTGCTCTATCCGCATCAGCATTACCTCATGGCACAGCATTCGCAACGCCATCTCCATGTTACACACACTGTAAATTCACTGGTCTCAACACTCTATTAAAATTTAAATACGAAATTCCACAATTAACCCCTGAACAGACCTCCTCCCTCCGATCAAGCCGCTCAAAAACGAGATCTGTGCAATCAGCTGTGGAATGGTTGGTAAGGCATGGACTGGGAATGGCTTTTATAGCCTCATCTGATGGTTTTTGGCCGAACAATTTAATGTTATTTTCTTTCGCTTTTTACTTGTTTGTATTTGCGTAATTTCGTGTAGTTTTTGCTGTAGTTTTGTTCGGTGGGGTGGGAAACGTTGTGTGAGAATTCCACATGAAGGCTTCGGCGAAGGTCAGACAGCAGGCAGTTGTTCTGCTCCTCAGACACAGATTATGAACCTAATTGTCCAGATGATTTATGGTAAGAGGAATTGCTGGCTCCTCCTCCATCGTTCACTTTGTGTTGTGGCGCCACTTTGTTTGTTTTTGTTTATGAGTGAAACAAAAGGCAACAAAATTTTAGTGCCAACAAAAGAGGTGAAATGTAGCCCAAATAAACAAAACAGATGTACGGCTGGACAGCGGCCCCCAATGGAGATGATGGGATAAACAGTGGACTGTAAACTCAATCTACAAAGGCTCTTCAAATGGAAAATCAAAGTAAAGGAGAGCATATGGAATCTTTGCAATCTTCTGTTAGAGAAAACTGGCAGATATTCCCCTTACCCATTTTAAATGGTATTAAATCTGAAGTACTCGTCTTAAACATCATCCTATTTATCCATCTTGATCTCAACTGAAGATCTTTCCATCAACAACTCATGGCTGCTCGTACGTATCGAATATCTGATTGGAAATCTGATTACTTCCCCTGCCATTTGCTAGAGACTTTCTCCAAATTATCATATCACCCGCATTTGTGTGATGCAATCTTTGATCCCATCCGAAGCATCTCTAATTTATATCCCCCTCTCTCTCTCTCTCTCTCTGTATTCACGCTTTCATCTCAATCGAAATCTCCAACCAATTTGGTTCAACTTCAATCTCAATAAAGTACAAATTAAGCGGAAAAACTCCGTTGACAAACGGTACACGGATGAGAGCTAACAGCAACAGATTAGTTAAGACCCTAAAATCTCCAGCAATCTTTGGCTACGAAACGACTACCCACAGTGGTTGTTTGGGTTTACCACAAATTGATGTTCTTTTTATGTAAAGTTCAGAAGGGGAACACAGAGGAGAATGAAGGGAGAACAAGCTCTACGAGGCTGAGAGGAGAACCATCTCTGGGTGGAAGAGGAAGGGCGCACAACCTCGAGAATATCATCAAAAGATGGTAACGCCTTCCACTTCCACTTCCACTTCTATTTCAGTTGAAGAGGGTTCCTCAGTTCTCGTTCTTGTTCGTTCTCTGTGTTCCGCATTTAGTTGGAAATTAAGTTCAAGGGAACTCCTCCACACTCTTTATAAAAATAGGGGCAGTGTCTGTGGAAACTAGACCCCAAGGCACGTCGTCGTGTGCCCCCAACGAACGTGTCGGGGCCATCGCTTAGCACCTCATTTACAGGGCCTCGAAAAAGTAGTTTCTCTCCTGGAACTGTCATTCACAGACTGAGATTCGAGATTTAGATCTCTCTCTCTCTCTCTCTCTCTCTCTCTCGCGACACGCAATTTTCTGGGTGCTCTGTCACAATTTTCATGTCATTGCCAGCCAGCGATAAACTACATAGAGCGATAACAATCGATCCGTTTTGTGGGGGAAAGAAAACTGTGGGAAAACGCACAACAATTGCTACTGTTTGGTTTTTGTTTCTGTGTTTCCACTCATTGTTCCCCCTATGGCATATGAATATTATGCATTTCTCACACACGCCAGCGATTAATTATCGTTAAATGCCTTCGTGGCATCGATTGGTTGTCGCCACAATCTTCATTAGCATATGACTATAATTATCATGCCATAAAAACGTGAGTTGCATTTTGCCAAGATATGCATTTATTTTCCATTTATGTTGGAACTTTTCATTGGAGATATTAAAACTTAATGAAGCGTATTTATGGTTTGTCTTTTGGTGTCAGTTGTGGCTTATTTATGGTTCTGCCAATAAAGATAGAGGAAAGTCTTGTTCCCTTTACAATTGTGGAGGATGTATATCTGAGTCCATGGCTATCGCTAGTCTTCCTGCAAGGCATTCATAATTTCCCAACAATTACTTAATTCGGCACCAAAAACATTCAATGAATTTTGACAGCACAAAAAACTCTCCAATGGCGCGACAAAAATTGCAGACACTCAAAATGCAATAATAACAACAGTGCAACACAGACACAGAGGAGCGTTGACAACCCGCACAGGCAACAGGCAACAGGCAACATGGAGGCAACATGCAGCAACATGAAAATTTCCAAGTCAAATGGAAAACGGGCAACATGCAGCAACCGGGCAACCAGCACCACAGTCCCCACCCGCTGTAGCAGCGACAATATTATTACTTTCATTGTTGCTGCTGCTGGGGGGAGAGATATCTGTTGATGCTGGTGCTGGTGCTGGCTGCACAAAACATTTCCTGGTACAGCAAGCAGCAAGCAGCAGCAGAGCCACAACATTGGACAACGTCCCCACAATTTAGCTCAACTATTACAAATCGCATTAGATGCTAAATTTAGCAAAAGAGGCAGACAGAAAGAGAGGCTTCTGCCCGTCGCTCCATTGGTGCTGCGGTCTGGCGTGGGTGTTGCCCCCACGAGAGCGCAGAGCCCACGCAGAGAGATGCTAATGCCCGATTCTTAAGCCACGCAATGGCTCATAATTTGCAGGTTGTTCACGGACTTTTTTGTAGCCTAGCAGGCACGTACATGGGGGTAGTAGGGAGATCTTTATACCCTGTATTTGTGGTATATTAAAGGTATATTGTGTGGAGAGTTCTAGGCTTGGATTTCCTAGGGTATTTAATACACAAAAATTACCCAACATATTTTGTTACTCCTTCTTCTCGCTTTGTTAAGGTGTTGCTTTGATTTATGGCCACTGCCACAGGTTGCCTGAATGCATTGCTGCAACTGCCACAAGGTAAATGGAAATGGAAATTCAAATGAAAATGAAAAATTGACAATTGCAAGTTGAATCAAACACAATGGCAGTAAACAAAAGTCGCAATTTGACATTTGGAAATGTCAATAGGGGACTATGGCAGCAGTACCAGCAGAAGCAGCAGCTGCAGCAGGCGGCCCCTATTCGAAGATGTCTCAAAAGATGTTGCCACACGACACCCGAAGACACCGCGTGGCAACATGCTCTGCTCTGCTCTGCTCTCGTTTGTTTGCCTTTCTCATGGTGCGGTGGGGAATGCCCCTTCTTCTATCCCCAACTTTCCCGCTTGGTAATTTCTCAACTTTTGTTCGATCTATATAGGAAATCTTTGGCGTTTAAGACAACAGCTGCTGGCAGCAGCAATTGATGCCAAGATTGTTATTCTAGAGTTTTTCCTTATGGCTCAGCTCCGCTCCCCACATTGTGGGGCGCTCATAAATCAATTTGCTGACCAACAAAAGCTGTCCATAAATCCATAAAAAAACCACACAAAAAAAAAATAATGATATCAAAGACTAGCCAACAAAAAGAAATCACAGAATCAATCCAAACATACACAAAAAAGAGTCAAAATAGAGGACAGAAATGCCTCAAGAATTTCAATTCTTACCGATTATATATACGGGTGGGGGGGAGTTAATATTGGCCACCCATCGAACCATAAAATAATGAACCATTTAAGTGGGAACCAACATTAACTGCGGTAATTGAAAAACGTAGGAAAACACAGAGCAGCGGATGAAAAGCAAAACAAGATCAAGGCAAGAGATCATCAGGCAGCAGGCAGCAAGGCCCCAAAGGAATATTGTTGGTCCAGCAATCTGTCATTATCTTGGCCAGAAAGTAGATCAACTAACGGTGGCTTTTAGTCGGACCAAGACACAGAGATTGAGGGGAGCAGGATGGAAGGGAGAGAGCTGGCACAGAGAGTGTTGTGGTAGCAAGAGTGATGGCAGGGGCAGCAGCGTTTTGTGGCACATGCAATATAAAAGCATTTCTGAGCTACCCATTTATAGGAGCTTCCTGATAAGGGGGTATGATGGATATGTTTGTATGGAATATAGGAATTTCGAGTATATCGAAGTTATATTTCCCTAGGTACATATTAGCTGTTACAAGTACAGATTTCATCTACATGCGCACCAACATTGAGTCTTTCCTAGTATGGCCAACTTTTAGAGGCTTTTCATGATGCTCAAAACTCTGTTTTAGGTGTTGTGTCCATTTTTATTATACATAATCTGTTTTCTCCGTTTTTTGTTGCTGTGAGCTTGCGGCTAATTACTTCACCAACGCTGCACCAACTGGACCCCAAATGAAAGTGAGACCTGGACGACGAACAGAGGCAGTAATTACAACAACAAAAACGCTACATAAAAAGATTTAGTTTCCATTAAAAGTAAACCTCATTGTGTGTCGCTTGCCGCTGCCGCTGTCGCTTGTCTTCCGTGTTTCAGTTGATGTTCGGGGGTGTGGCCACGCCTCTACTTTACTTTGCATTCATTTTGGTTATTTAACATAATTATTGGGATTGAATTTTCGCAGCTTTCCGGGACAGAGACAGAGGCAGAGGCATGCAAACGTGCAACATGTGTAAACATTACAACAATTCAACAGGCACATAAATTGCAGTTCCGATTCGATTCCGACGTGACTGCCAGCCAGCCAGTCAGGCTAAATGGTATCCCCCCAACCACAATCATTTGTATCTCTTGCTCCGTCTCTCTGTCAATTATTATGCGATTTGCATTCACTCATTTTAAAGCCTGGCTTCGTGCTTTAAAACTCTCAAAACTCAAAATTTGCATATTTGCTGCGAGACATTTTGTGGGTTTGTTTTGGGGTGTGGAGGCGCAGACTGGTAGTCGACTTGTGGATTGATTTATGCCGCTCTTTGATTGATGGCTTGATGGGTTAACAAACCAACCAAATTGGGGGCCAATTAGGTGTATAAATATTCAAGAAAATTCACTACTGATAGACATTAATTGAGAGAGGAGCGAGGTATGCAACAATAAGCTGAATTTCCTCAAGGCTAAAGTCTTGACAAAGCCTCAAGGCTACAGCGCATTGTTTCCTACACTTTTCACAAAGAACGAGATATCTTTTCCCTTTTATGCACCATCGACAGATGTTTCCCACACTCTATTTTAACCTTCAACCCATTCAACCATCCATCCTTAGGTCTGTAAAACAAACAACATTTTCCAAGAATAAACAACATAATTCAGGGAAGGGGAGTGGAGTGGAGCCGAGCAAGCAACCACAAAACATAATAATCATAACAATAATGAGCCATAATTCAATGCAATTCCATTGCATTTGTTTAACAAAAAACTTGCTGGGGATTAGGAATACCCTTACCTCGAGAGAAGGCATACAACAAGTAACTTTTGGATGCTGATTTTGGGTCTCAAAAATGGTCTCTGAGACCAGAAGTACAGAAAGAAGAGAATCAGAGGTAAAGGCAAATACAGCAAAAGTTCCATGGCAAAAATCGAAATGGAAAACCGAAAAAACCGAAACTATAAATGTCAGTCGGTGCTGCACAAAAAATTAAGTATTAAAAGTAAAGTTTTTTTTTGCCGTAGTCCAGACACGGGCACGTCGTAAATTTGATTTGGTTTATTTTCATTTGCTCTGCTCTCTGCACATTTCGGTCACTTTCATTTGGTTTTTGGAGTCGAGGTTTCGGGGGTTTCGTAGCAGTCTACTGTCTACCGCTCGGTGTTGACTTTCGTGAACTCCAAAGTTGAGGGCGCATAAATTTCACTTTTACTTTTCGACCTCAGCGCTCTCTGGAGCCGTTTCTTGTTTGCCACTTTACTGCTTTTCTGATTTTTATATTTTTTATATAAACATATTTCTTTATGGCAGCTACTAAAAAAAGACAACCCTCAACTGATAAAGGGCACAGGGGGATAGTTTTTCAAAGCGAGTGGGTCATAAAGTTGGGGATACTTGTTCCCCTTAATTCGAAATACTGAGAGAAATGTGACAGCTCTACCTTGGATTCGCAGGGAGGATTTATCGCGCTGTATAATTTACTTTTGTATTTTTTTCATATTCCTTCAACGATTGCAATGCAAGCACAACACTGAGAAAAGTTTGAAACTTCGTATCAATTTATTCTAGAAACATCTCAAATATCTCTTGCAGTGATAAACTAAGTCGAACGTCTGTAAGTCTGTAAACTTCGAATTTAAACTAAAAATTGCACATCCTTCCCCTCCTAACTTCGCCCAAAGAAATCCCAAATATGAACTCCTCAAACTCGTCTCTCAGTGTGTCTGTATGACATTTACGAGTACAAATCCCAAACAGTCCCCGCTCAACGTTTTTGGTCCGCTTTTTTTCCGGCTGTTAAGGAGTTGTCGTCGCCTTCGTTTGATGTCTTTAACCGAGGCCGTGGCTGCTGATGAAGCATATCCTTTATGGCCAGAAATTAGTGGCATGCAGTTTTGGGGCATGTCCAATGTAGAGCAAATCTCCCGCTTTGGGGGCAGCGCGTCAGGAAAGTGTTGAAAATTGCCACAGCGCTCGGGGGGATCCAGCGCCCACATGCAGCCACACAAATTATCCATGGGATCGAATGTACGGAAAGCAGAGAGCAGGCGGAGGATGCAAATTATTGCATCAGAGAGTGCAGTGCAGTGCAGAAAATGAAATTGTTTCTTGGCCAACAACCGAAAATCTCAGAGTAGAGCAGAGCAGAAGGCGGTAAATGGTGGCCAGGTTGCACCAGAGGCCAGGCTCCAAATGAAGCGGTTTACAAAGGCAAAAAAAAAGGAAAACAAAACGTGAACTGCTCCACAGCCAGAGGGGCCTTGCCACAAAGGCTGGAACGTGGCTTACAGTAGAGGAAGGTAAACGCTGGCTTATAGGGGAAGCTGCTGAACACTATAGAGGAAGGAACGTGGCCCACAGAGGAAGGTGAATCGAAGTGGAGCCAAGTGTGTGTTTGGGTCAGAGAGGCAACTGCTGGTGCTTCTATGGCTACTGCAGCAGCTGGTCGGTTGCTTCAAATTGTGGCTTCCACATCCAGTGCGTGTCTCGAGTGATTTACAAGGCACGAGGCCAAAGCATTTTGCACTCTTCCTTCTCTGCAAATTACACACAATTAACAGAGAGAGAGGGAGAGAACTGTAACCAGGAAACATTTAGAGAAGCCAAGAAAAGAGGAGGATCCACAATGAACGATCGTTTGGACATCAACTGGGCCAATGTGTTCGAGTCTATAAGGCAAATTGACTTTCACTTGGATCTACAGCACGAAACGGATGGGTTGGATGCGTGCCCCAAAGAGGTATGGCCAGCAAATTAGTAAAAGTAAGAATAAAAAGAGAAATAACAGAGATAGAGAGAGGAAACAGGAAATGGAATATAGAACAGGAATTAAATTAAATAAGTGCTTTGGTTGCAATTATGAAGATCTTTAATAGTTCCAATAAGAAAGGGGTTCATCTAAAGAAGGATACATAAATCAGTACTTAAGAACCATTTTACATGGATTTTCTTTCTATAAACTCTACTGAAATCGCTCCTGATTCCGCCATCAGCCACCAAAGTGCTTTCTCGCCAAACTAATTTTAACATTCGCCTGCTTAAAATCCTCTTCCCATTGAACAGGAACCATTTAAACACACACCACACCTCTTTCTTTTCCAGAGAGAGGGGAAAACTCTGTCTCTCTGCACTTCAATTGCAGTTGCAGGTGCAAGTGCCGGTTGCAGTGGCACTTTATACAGCCAGTACAAGCTTTCCCGATACACATTTTTTGTCGCATTGCCGGCATTTTCACTAAATGAATTAATTAAATCAACTACGAATGGGAGTTATACAAAAACGTAATTAGAAATTTCCACAATTGGCTTGCAACAACAGCAACAAAAAGAGAGGCGACGCGGCAGAGACGATCCGACAGCGAGGAAAGCGGCGCCAAATGCATTTTCTTTCTTTCCAAGAATCTGTGGTATGCTCGCGGGCACGAATTGAATTGCTTTTGCTCCTACCTTATACCCCTGCTGATTTCCCCTCTATAAAGTTAATCCAAAGTGAAGAAGACGAGTCTTGCCAAGGGCATTTCCCCCGGTGAAATGGATTTATATTTATATCGGAATCAAGTTCAAAGTATCGATAAATAAGGGAAAGATTATTTTGGGGTATCTATGGATAGTACTTACCGCTGTGGAGCTCCGTTTGCGCAGTAGATTATCGAGGCACAACTGCAGTTCGAATGCCTTCAGATATAGCAGATGATAGCGATCCCTCAGCCTCTCCAAATTCCCTTCGCCCTTCTTTGTCGGCGGTGGTGGTGGTGGAGCTACCACAACGACTGCTGCTGTTGCAGCTGTGGCACCAACGATGGGTGTGTTGACCGCAGTGTCAGAGGCAAAGCCACTGCTCAAACTGCTGGACTTTGTGGCCAAATCGCTGGCCGCCGACTCACTCGAGCAATTGCTGGTCAGCGATGCTGGTTGCTGTTGCTGCTGCTGCTGCTGTTGGATATGTAGCTGCTGCTGCTGCTGCTGTTGCTGCAACTGCTGTTCCTTTTCGGCGGCACGTATGCAAGAGCTTACGACTCGGGCGTGTGATACAATTTCATGGTACAACACCTGGAAGCACACAGAAAGAGAAAGAGAAAGAGAAATGAGTAAAAGTGTCCATGGAGGTTAACGTTTGAGGTTTAGCTAAGTTAACATGACATTTAGTTGATATGCCTAAACAGCTAATTGATTAGGCACCCAAGTAGCGTACAGGGCACAGCACAGATGTGCTTTCAAGGGGAGAAAGGTATTCAATATCTAGGTGATTATATCTTAAATTGGAGTAAAAGTACAGCTCCAAAAACTTTCCTATAACTTCTGCCATTCTTTGCTATCTTAAATGTGTCATGGTGCGCCCATTGGCCGGCTGGGCTGCATTTCTGCCTGGGATACGCGTGTGAGAAACTTTGGCTGGTTCCCTCAGCCTGTTTGTTTACTTTTGAAGATGCCACTCCTCCCCACAAAGCTTATTTACTCTTTTCCACCTATAAAGCTTCTGATTTCCTCCTCCTCCCCAGAGACTTTTTTCTTTTGCATCTGTGCAGCGATTATCCATCGCTCATTTGTCATTTTAACAGCTGCTGCCGGGGCCTTTAACCTCAAACCAATGGCAAAGGTTAACCCGCAGAAATCCCACGCATTGCATAAGGCCACCAGCCATGGACACAGCCAACAGCCAACAGCCATTGTTCCACGATTAATCATGGAGGGAGGGGTGAAGAGAGGAAGACTTTTCGCAAATTCACAAGACAATTGACGCATAGAGGAGGACCAACGATTGGGGCGTGACCATGCCAGTGACACCCACACATGTGGCAGCAACAGAGAGAGACTCCTATCGTATCTGGACATTGATCTCCATACAAACAGTTTAACCCCAAAGCCTGAACTCTTGCATAAGGCAAAAACCAACAGACAGATAGAAACCAACAGCTTGTCTGCCCCCAGGAGGTGCAACAAAAGTTGAAATTAGAAATCGATAAATACTCCCCGCACAGAGAGGAATTGGGTGGGGGTACCGGGCAACCTCTTCACCTCAAAGTGTCGTTATTTATGGCCCACGGACACATCCTTAGTCACAATACCAAGGAAAAGCAAAGATTTCCTTCCTTCCTTCTTTCTTCGATCCTCCTTCAAAAATCAAAACATAAATTTCAATTTTCACCTGTTTTTGAGATCTTTACTGGGAGACCCTTCTTTCGCCTTCCCCCGTTTCCCATTTCTTTGCAAAAACAAATTGAAATGTCAAAGATATTGAGGCGCCACCGAGGCATTCGGGAAATTTGCAAATTTATGAAAATGATTTCTTTGGACAGCTCTATGGCTGTAGCTTTTCCTTCTCTTCCTTTCCTCCTCGTATTTTCCTTTGATTTACTTTGTCTAATGGCCAAAATTGACACTCAAGAGGCAGCTGCCACAGAGACTCCTCTCCTCTCGCAGACTCCTCTCTGCATCTTTCTGCCACTTTTGGGTTTGAAGAATGATCCGAGAAAGCGACGCCACTTGAGAGATTTATGGGGAAGCCTTACGACTGCCTCAACTACTACGACTACTACGAGGAGAGTACCTCTGACACTCGTGCCTCCTGACTTTGTCTCTGGCTCCTGACTTTTGCGGGAAAGTTTTGACAGGCTGCAGCAGCAGCACCACCAGCAGACTGCAGACTGCAGACAACAGACTGTATTTTCGTTGGTTACTTTTACTACCATCAACATTGTTGGCTAAATTTAATTATATTTAGAGAAGTTTCTGGCTGACATGCTGCCAAATTTTACTTTTACTTGTGGCAATACAAAGATTCTTCTATATCTGAACCATGGCATTGCTCTTCCTTTCTCTTGCCAAAAAGTCTACCAAGAGTATCGCTTTCTTCAAAGAAATGCCACTTCCTGTTTTCTTATCTTAAGTTCTATCCATCTACCTTTTCCTATTCCAATTTCCACACATGTTTCCATTACCGCATTCCTCCCGTTCTTTATATCTATCAATCTTTACTCCTACAAACTTCTCCCCGTAGTTCTATTTAGTTTTTCTGATTTTTCATTTCAAAATCTATTTTGGTTGGCATTTTATATGTAGATATTTTCTCTAAAGACTCAACCAATTTTCTGCATCATGAAAATTGTTTTGCATTATGATTTTTATCATTATATCTAATTATAAGACCCAAAGAGAACAAAAGAATTCAGCAGGGGCGGGGATGGATAGAGGGCTCTGGTTTCAGAGGCTTGGCACTGGCTTGTCCCTGCGCCGCTTGTTTGGGCAAATACTTTAGATAAATTACGGCAGCTTTAACCCACAGTTACAGAGTCATGGATGGAGGTCTTTTGGCAGCGGATAGAGCTGTGCCACAGTGGGGAACTTCAAAAGAAGAGGTCTCTGGCCACAGAACAGCAGACGGAGGAGACCGCTCTGCCTCTGTGGCAGAAGAATCGCCCGTAAAGTGAGTAAGACTTCAATTGAATGAGGGGGAGTACTCGTAAAAGTGGCGGGAGGAGTGCCGGCACTCTATTGTGGGGGAGCAGCTGCCAAGAGGCAGGTGTGGGTTGTTTGCTTATTTGCGATAGTTGGAGGCTCATTACCAGAATGAAAGACCAGAGAGAACCTACCTCCGTGGCACCGTAGCCAAAACCAAACCCCAGTCCCCAGACCAGTCTCCCCAACCTCTAGACAAAAGCCCATGGCAAAAGTCTATGTCTATGGCAACATTGTGTCTCTTTTTTGTTGTGGTTATTTTGGAGGAACGCCTTTCTCTTTGTTTTTGGTTCGGAACCACTCCCAATCTTTGCACGACTCTAAGCAGCGCAATTTTTGAATGCAACTCCAACTGGAACCGCTCTGCGGCTGGCTCTGTGGCGTGCCACCCACTTTAGGTTTTTGAGGTTTGAGGAGCGGATGAAGGGGCAGGCAGGCTAGAAATATGAGAATTTAGAATTTTATGCAAAGTTCGTGACTAATCTCCAGCTGAAACGACGACAGGGATGGCATCCACACACATCTCTTCACCGACCATCAAGAGGTCTCAAGAGATTATTGGGTAGCGTACGACGGGACGGGAAATAATAAAAGAAATCAAGGCAAACAAATTGAAGCCAAAGCGAAGTCAGTGCGAATGAGAGAGTTCTCGAAGATTGAAATCTGATGCAGAAAAGGAGGAGAGACGAGTGATGCGAGAGCAGTTTCAGACCGAGAGAATGCTGCAGACAAAAGTGAATGTACCGTGGTGTGAAAGTGTTGGAAAAGGACTTGAAACTCAAGTGATGATTGGACACAAATGATACAGGTGTTGGTAGAATGATACAAGTGTTGGAAGAGTGCTTTTAAACACCCACAAAAGAGGGAAATATAGAGTGAAAGTTGAACACCTGAAGGAGAGGCGCTGCGAAGAGTATAAACTAATACATTTTGCACCAGTAAAATCATCCAAAAGAAGCCATTACCCAAGGAGTTTGTATAAATAAATATATATATACAAATTTCTATAATTTTTTCCATTAAAAATGCTTTTCTCTGGGATGTCTACAATCCATAATCTTTCCTTTATTTTTCCCAAAAATTAAGACAAATTTCCTTCACTTTTCTCATGTGTTATTCTGACTAATTATTCAGCGATTTCTTAGACGTTTTATCTTGGACGTTTTATCATCGAAATTGCAACACATTTTTGGGGCACACAAACACACACACCACACACATAGCCCCTCGATAGTCTAGCCAGCAGCAGCAGCAGCACATGACGCACCATACACACACGTGTCCCAGGCACAGTCCAATGGATTTTTCCTGGTTATTTTACCCCATTTTCTCCCTATACTTTTTCCGCATGCTGTTTATTCATGCGAAATGTTCCAAACGCCTTGCCGCGCGCTTCTTCAGACCGAAAAACAAGAAGAGAAAAGTTCTTCTAATGCTTTGAGGCGGCTATTTTTACACATCCGAATAGAAACAACAAAAACCGAATAGAAGAAACTGTTTTGTGCGGTGCACGTATCTGTATATCTGTATCTTTCGGATGTCTGTCTGTGGTGTGGCGTGGTGTGCCATGCCAGAGGTTCGTTGACTCACAAGAATGACCAGAGGTTGAGCAATCCTATAAAATACTACCACTAAAAGACACTCTAGACAGGGGGGAGATCGTACATTCATTATCGGAAATGTCAGTGCGTGACCTCGACCGCGTTTTTTCTTGCATTTTTTTACAATTTACAATTTGTATTTCTATACATTTTATTCGGGTCTTCGGCAACGCCTTCTGATTCAGCGTCTGATTTCGCCGCCATTCTTTGGTTCTCTTTTGTGCTATTGGATTATGAATATAACTCGAAAGAATGAATACGAAAAATTGTGTAAAGAGGCAGTGATAAAATGCCTGCTAAAATAAGCGATTAAAAGTCACACCCAAAACGAAGCCGAAATGAATAAAAAACTCTACAAATTAATTGATTTTTCGTACACTATTATTCAAAAAAGCTAAAAGCCATAAAACATAAAGAAATAACTCGCAAAAGCGTATAAAAAATAATACGAAATAGCTTCGAGAATGCTGTTCATGGGGAAAATTGCTGAAAACCATCGAAATATAAATCAAAATCCGTGAAATTCTTAAACGAAACTAAAACAATTTACCAAACACTCAAAAACATAAGCAAATGTCTGTCAAAAATGCTATAAAAATCAACCATCAAAATTCATACGGTGAACACACGCTTTTGGGCCATAAATTTCCGGCCCAAAGGAATCAAAATGTTTGCCAATTTTCGTAAGGCAGGAAGTCAGCAACAAAAAACAGCAACAAACGCCAAATTCTTGGGCGAAAAAAACTGTCTGCTTTTTTCGAGAACGTTTCCAAGATGTCACATAAATTGGGAGCACACGAACGAGAAAATAAATTAAATTTTGGCTTTGTTTTTGCAAGCATTTTTCTATGTAAAGTAGTCACGACATTTGGAAGAGTTCCAAAATGGGACTAAAAATAGAGTTGAACGACTCTAATTACCTGAGAGAATGGAAGCAGAGATAGAGAGACAGAGAGACAGAGAGAAGGGGAAACTGCAGAGAGAAAAGCGAAG